ACCCCATTTTTCACGGGCTTTCATTTGGTATAAAATTCATGATATCTCCGATTCGAGATCATACTGTTACCCCCCTGGAATAATATTATTTACCACCCTGTACAAGTAATTCAGTTTAGTATTTTAATCCACCGGAATCACATCGATTTCATGATGAAGACATTAATGATTTTGTTAATTGTCTTAAAGAATGTGCATTCAGATCTATATTCAACAAAAATCATCTTGATTTAGCCACCGAAGTATGTCATTATCTTTCGCAACTTCGACCACAACTCATTATTCCTCCATTGGTTGAATTGTTTGTATTTGTTTCTTTTTCTTACTCTTTATTCATTGTGTCATTGTTGGTTATTGGCTCTTCTCTTCAATTGATAATATGACTGAACTACATCGATTGGCATCGTTGATACTTTGTCTAGCTGCTTTGAGTTGTCAAATAGCTTAACAAACACCAGACTTCCCTCAAGGTCAAACGTTTGTTCTAGCCTTCACTATTGGTATCGACTCTACCGGGTATCGCATACACGAAGAGATCTTAGTGAAGTAAAAGAAAAATTTAGAATATGAATTTTTATTTCTATATTTGATCATAGATTGAAGAAAAAGCGTGTTTATCGATAGGTGCATTTGAAGATTTTATGAGTGCATGTCTTAATCGAATATTTCAAATGATCGATACATTATCAACTGATATTTCCGATACATTAGCAATAACAATCGATTCAAAAGTGGAAGATATTCAAATCGAACTAGAATTAACATTAATCATTTCATGTATTGTTCAACAATGTAGTAGACGAATTTTTCACATAGGTTTTTAAGTAATTACTAAGCATTAGAATTTAGTTTCTTTGTTCAATGGAATAAAATTCATTTTAGATGGTTCGAAGAAAAATAACAAATATTCTCGCTACCCACTCTTATTCATCGAAAAGAAATAAACTTCGGATGAATCTGATTCAAGTAATATTTAACAATAATCCAATTGAGACATGAAAATCTCTTTTACCACAAACAGATGAACGTATTGATAAAATTCTTCATCAATCAGATATGATGATAAAGGTAATACCTGAATTAACATGATGGTTGACACTTCCTTCGGAGCTCGTTTGTGCTCGTAGCGACACTTTAATTATGTATATATAAATAAAATGTTGAATATGATAAAACGAATGCCCAATTTCATATTCCTAATGAGGATGAAGTTGATTCTGCTTGTGAGTTTGTTGATAAATTTATGTATCTCGAATGAAATATGTCCAACGATGAACTATCACTGAGACTTATTCATCCTATAGCTTTTGGTTGTTTACGTATGGCTTCAAGGATTGAATGTGAAGAAGTTCAAAATCTGTGAGTGAAAATCGAATGGTATTCAAATGAAGTATAGATAATTGATTGATTTCTTAGTGTTTTATCTATCGTTCAATAATGTTTATATGCTAAACAACCAAGTAATGAAAATAAGAATATATGAAGATTCAGTATTCCGAAAATATTTTGAGTACATCTAATTCATGAAAACAGAACGACAGCTTAAGCGCTGGTCGTACAAAAAGACTGCATACGATAAAACTTCTCCCAACTGTCGATCTTTTACAAGCAACAAACGAGAATTAAAATCAGTTGATAAGATTCAATCTTTTAAGCAGTTTCCGAGAATGAACTCAGAACTGGTATGTCTATTGTCGTTTTAGAGTGAGTGAATTTTTTCAGCCAATATACCGGCAACAGTTCCATCTTTCAGATTTCGATTCAAACATTGGACATGTACGAAAAATTTTCTTCATAAATTCATTTTTCAGTTCTTTCAAACATTTCTACATCTCTCTCGAACAAGAATACACATACGATTTGTGAGGCTGAATTCATGAGCATCTTAAAATTCCGACTCCGACCCACTGTTTTCAAAAGATCGAGAATTCAAAGATTATTTTGTACGAAGATTTTATACACAAGGGTTACGTTAGTTCCTTTTTATGTCGAAAGATAAAAGGTAATTTTTTTCAGAATAGAATGAGTCATACACAAGATTCTAAAAACATAATTGTAAACCCATAGAGAAAGTCTTTAGTATGATGATTGATAACTGATTCGCTATTGATTCGTTTCAATGTTTTCTATTGACAAATGTTTGTCATACTTTTGCTTCTCAATTACACTTCAACTAAAGCTCATATATTAGATAACGATGTTGCAATATTGAATTCTGATATTTGTTTTATATGTTGACTAAAAATTACGAATATGAACTCGTTCTAGAATTTAAAGAGAATCTTGAAGTGCCTCTTCTTATTGATATTTATAAGTTAATTGGTAAGGTTTTCATTAGTACAACAGACAACACCATAATGATGTTTTTTTTTCTCTCTAGATCATCTTATTGCGTATTATTCTGATGATGCATCATCTAACTTTTTCTTTTTTGTATGAGAATTGCATTGATATTCGGGATGTTGTAGCTGTCCTTTTTTGTTTGATTGTCGTATTAGGTCGGAATTGTTTTCTTTGATGTGTTTTTGATATATTGTAATCGAGTAATGTATGTGCGGGGTATTTATATATGCGAATTTTTTATCTAGTATCATGTACACATATCTGTCGTTACTGAAATGAAATTTTCAATTATTTTTTATGTTGTAATGTTTGGTGGCGTTGGTTTATCAGTTGGATATCCTCGTTCTGATGTAACGGGTGGGCCATAATGAATGACCCTCTCAGTATTTTGCATATTTCTCACCTATAATTCAGCTAAGAAAAAAATTTTTTTTTATAGAAAGATTCCTTGTCAAATTCTCTACAAAACGTA